AGTGGTGCGTGAGCTGATTGCGCATGGGGCAGACGTCCATGCGTTGACCGTGGATAGTTGGACACCTCTGCACAGTGCGTGCAAATGGAACAACACCAAAATTGCCTCCTTCTTGCTCCAACACGGGGCGAATGTCAACGCTCAGACCAACGGGTTGCTTACGCCTCTGCACTTGGCCGCCGGAAACAGAGAGAGCAAGGAGACCCTGGAACTGTTGCTCATGAATCGCTATTTAAAGCCAAATCTCAAAAACAACTTGGAAGAGACGGCTTGCGATATTGCTCGAAGGACTGATAAATACCACTATATGTTTGAGATCGTCGAACACTGCACAAACTCCGTCACAGATTCTTAGGAATTGTACACCTAGCCCAACACGGCCCATGCGCTTTAAAAAAAAATAATAATCTATTTTTGTCATTGCATCCTCAGCTCTTTGTGTCATAACTTAGCAGGTGGTAGAATGAGGCTCTGTTGAGTAAACACTTACATTATTTTTTATAAGATATGTGTCTATGGAGATTCTCAATCATCCAGGTCATGATTGGAACCAAAAGTGCTTTTTTCCTCCCAAAAGACAACTGAACTTTCTTGATGGTTTTTTTTTTTCCCCTTTTGGTTCTCATCCAGCAAGCTTCTTAAGTTCTGAACTTCTTGAATGAGAAAGGAAACATTTTCAAAAGACAAATAAAGCCAAGAAAGTCCAGTTGCCTTTTGGAATAAAGCGCCGTTTGGGATAAGATAAGCTATGCCACTCTTGTGGAATGTTTTCACTTTAACTTGAAGAAACATGGTGATTTTGCTGCTTTCCCCATCCATTGTAAATGGAAATCATTCACAGAGCCACAAAGTAACATGTAAATATTCAGCTTGGAGGAGAAACACTCTTCAAAGGGACTCCTTTCTAAGGTGTGTGAAGTTTTAATGAGACTTACGTAGTGACCAGTAATCTTCAACAGAGAAGAACATGGAATTTAAACTATTGCCAAAACTTGGGGTATTCGCACACATATCAAAGATAGCAGCTGCCAAAAAATAAAGCTACCTGGTTAATAATGTGATGGGATTAAGATTTCCAAAATCTACTTCGGTATCTGTATAAGATATGCCTGTATCTAATTCCTTAGGTGTCAAACATCACATTTTATGTTCTCAGGTTTTGCTTTTGAAAGTGACAGTATGGTTGCCTATACGTAGAAGTGTTTTGTTTACATTTTTATTGATCAGGTTTCTGAGTCAAGTTACCTGACTTTTTATGATTTTAGAACTTCATTATCAGAATTGCCAATTAATACATCCAGGGGTCATATTGATTGACAGTTCAGGAAGTTGCAATTGCAGCACATTCAGAAATCAACCGTTTTGGTGAAAGTTGTTATAGGTCTTTGATAAATCACATTTAGTTGTTCTGTTTTTACAATGGTTTGTGTTTTTTTCAGTATCGCTGCAATTCACAAACAGTAGTAATATTTCAAAGTTATTTTCAGCAGCAGAAAACCCTACAGCTGACTGGTCCAAAGAGTGCTTGGAAGTACGTTATTGTACATCTGCTTTCCTTCGTAAATGATGTTTTGTATTTGGGGGAAACTTTGGGTTGTCATTCAGAAATAATCTCTGAAATTTATTCACAGATGCATGAAAAATCATCATGCGTTTGGTTCACTAGCTCTGAAGATACTTAGGGCTGGTTCACATAATTCTTTGATACACTTGAAGTTGAAGAAAATTCTCTGCATTGTACCTGATAAAAATTACATAACTCTTTCATGAGATTTGATGTGCATGTTCATGGTTATGTACAGAATGTGAAGCAGCATTTGTGTTCGTGAAATGAAGAGTGGAAAATGTGCTGAGTGTGGGAATGACAATTGAGCTTTCTGCTAAAATGATAAGTTTGTAAGAATACAAGTGTCTTTTGCTGCAGTTCAAATTTCTCCTGTGCATGCCGTCTGCTACTTTGAATGCCTTGTGTGAACCAGCCCTGACCTAAAAAAATCCCTGTAAATGTGGGATTTATGTGGTTTGCTGTAGCATGATGTACTTTCGCTGTAAAACTAGTTGTTTTGATTCATTAAAATTATTTCTGAATAAGTAATTTGATGGATGCAACAAACCCAAACTGTTCATGCCTATTGATACTGTAGCATGAAGTCCCAGTTCTGTTACAATCATGCAAGTTTTATTGGCATTAGAGGAACTCTGTGATTAGATATAAGATATTGTAATATAATATATATATTATATCCGTATATTATCCATTGAAGTCTCTGTTTACCAAACCAGACAGTTACATACTATAGGTGCAGATGACAGACTCAATAATCCCTCTGTAGAACTGTATCAGCAGCTCCTTGGGCAGTTTGAGCATTGATGATGTTACCTAGTTTGGTTAATGAAACATCTTCAAGAAAACAAGCAAGCTCAGAGAGAACCAAGGACCTCTTATTTCAACCCTGAGCTACAAATACTCTCCTTTATTGGCAACTTTTTGAATTACAGCTCACTTCCAAAGATGATGGAGGATTTAATGAAGATAAGCAGGGTGAGAACTAGGAGGAGGAGGAAGAGGAGTGAAAGTAGGTTAATGAGCACTCTTGGAAATATGTTATTTGTATAATCTCATTATGCAAATTGACATAAATTGCATCAACATTTGTGTAACTCTTAAATTTTCTTTATTGATTTATTTCTTCTGTTGATATATACAGTATATATGCCAAATTCATAATTATTCTGGGCAGTTTACATCAAATTTAAAATCAAATCAATGCCTCAGATCTTAAAAACGAAACTACTAGCAGTTCTGGACAATCATTTAGGTCCATAAAATACCTCTTAAAAATATCTCTGATTCACTCAACGCTTTGACCCAATGTCTGTGGGAACAGCCAAATTTGTGACTTCAGGGTTTCATTCAGATTTGAGTAGAGTAGAGTAGAGTAGAATAGAATAAGAATTAGAATAGAATAGAATTCTTTATTGGCCAAGTGTGATTGGACACACAAGGAATTTGTCTGGGTGCAAATGCTCCCAGTGTACATAAAAGATACATTCATCGTGTCAAGAATCATAAGGTACAACGTAATAGTCATAGGGTACAATAAACAAGCAAATCATACTAGGAAACATTTTTTTATTTTTTACAATTCTATTCTAAAAAATAGGAGCAGCCAGACAGTGGCGCTCTGAGGAACACAGCAAAGCAGGACTTCAGGTCTTATATTTTAAATATAATCAATGTTTTATTATTATTTATAGAGGTCTCCCTATCTTAGAAGAATCAAGCCAAAAAATATGATCCTTCTTTTGATGGTATTTCCTGGCTGGCTTTCAGTGCACATTATCTGGACTGGAAATATAGCTTGTTTTCTATCTCATTGGCTCACTCTTCCCAAAATACTTTTTACTTCATCAGCCTGTGACCAAATGCTTTTCCTTCAAGCACAGTTAGCTCTCTAATGTTCTCATCCATATTCTTCAGGTGATACTCCCTTTGTCACAGCCTGGCAGAACAAAATGTTTATGTCTACACACTATTCTAATATTGCCTAAAATAAACCTCAGGAAAAGGCAACACACTTCCTGAATAGCCAACCCACTTGCTTGATGAAGAGATCCTAGTGATCAACACACACAATCTGGCAATTGGCTTCTCCAACCAATAACTTTAAAACCACCACATGCCAAAGATGACCCTGTTCAGACACTTGCCAACTGACTCGTGAATTTGCGGTGTCCCAGGGTCATGTGATCACCCTTTGCAACCTTCTGACAAGCAAAGTCAATGGGAAAGCCAGATGGACTTTACAAATGTGTAAACTAACTGCAGTGATTAACTGAACAACTGGGGCAAGAGAGCCTGTAAAATGGGATAAAATTCACTTAATAACTCTCGCTTAGTAACAGAAATTTTGGATAAATGTGTATAGAATCGTTCTGGAATACAAAACGAACAGCACTTTTTTCATTATTATATTGATAAGGATTATTAATTTATCCCAGACAATGAATAGGACTATGTATTTATTTACATTAATTCTATTGTGCCCAGAAAATTATCAACTTTGGCAGTTGACTGTATAAGAAATTAATTCTGGATACTTATTACCTATAATCAATCAATCAATTTGTATATCTATTTATCTATCTACATCTATCTGTATCTATCATCTATATCTATCTGTATCTGTATATCATCTATCTGTATCATCTATTTATATCTATATCTATCTGTATATCTATCTATCCATCTATCATCTATCTATCATCTGTCTATCCATCTATATATCTATCTGTATCTATCTACTATCATCTATCTGTATATATTTATCATCCATCTATATCATCTATTTATATCGATCATCTATCTGTATCTATCATCTATATCATCTCCATCTATATCATCTATCTATCTATCTATCTATCTATCTATCTATCTATCTATCTATATCTTTCTGTATCTATTCATCCATCCATCATCTATCTGTATCTATCTATCTATCTATCTATCTATCTATCTATCTATCTATCTATCTATCTATCTATCTATCTATCTATCTATCTATCTATCTCTATTGATCTATTTATCATTTATCTATCTGTCTCTGTCTGTCTGTCTATCCTAAATTATCTAATTTATCTATCTACCCATCCTAATCTATCTGTAATCTTTCAGACAGTGTGGTTTTTGCCCACCCTAGCCTGCTAGGAGCTGCTGGGTAGAGGATGGTGGTAACCCCAAGAATTAGAGAGAGCGCCTGCTTGGGGAAGACCTCGGGTCAGCCACTCAGGTGGGCTTCGGGCGTTGCCAAGACAACCTGTGACCGCCCCCGCTCGAGGCGGCTGGACTCAGTTATCCTCTGACCCGGGACAAGGGCGCGCTCCCCTCTTAGCTGCGCCCAGCCTGTGCCGCCGCTCTGCCGGGTCTGCGGGCAAAAACCACCAGCTTCTTCATCCTCCTCCTCCTTCTCCTCCTCCGCCACTCCCCCTTCAGCAGCAGCCGCAGCAGCAGCCACCTTGGGCTCCTATGGCAACCAGCCTGCGCGTGCCGCTCGCCTGGGCGCGGCTGGCAGGAGCAAGCAGGAGCAGCCGCCGAGGACGAGACATGCGAGCGTCGACCGGGGAACCGTCGGAGAGCAAGGCGGGGGACTCCGGGAGCCGGATCTACGGCGAGAGCAATGATGGGGGGCAACCCTGTGAGTGGGAGTGGGGGGGGGGCTGGCGCGCGATCCGGGGGGAAGGTTTGCCCCTGCCCGGGCAGCAGAGGGGCGGTTGCTCAGGTTGCAGCCGGAGAGCCTCGCCACCGCCTGGAGGACCGAGACTTTCTCTTCCAGGCTGCTTTTTATCCATGGAGTGAGTGGGGAAGATTTCTAGGGTTGGTTTGTTTGGGGGGGAGGTGCTTCAGCCCCAGTAATTGGAAGTTAAGGGAGTGGAGAAGATCTCTTGTGTTTTTTGTTTTGTTTTTGTTTGGGGGGGGGCTTCAACGCCAGCATTTGGGAATTAATGGTCAACCCAGATTGTCTCTCCCACGCTGCTTTCATCCAAGGGGAAAAAAAAAAAAGATTTCCAGGTTTGGTTTTTGGGGGTGGTGGTGGGGGGGGCTTTGGCACCAGCAATTGGAAGTTAATGGAGTGGATAAGATCTCCGGGTTTTATTGGGGGTGGGGAGACATGGGGAGGTGAGGCTTCAGCTCCAGCAAATTGGAAGTTAATAGGTAACCCTGGCTGGGTGGAAACCAAATTGGAGGAAGGCTTGTCTCTGTGGGCTGAGGATGATGGGCTCTGGAAAGCCCCTGTTGTTGGGAGGGCGGTTGAGGGGAGAAAAATCGGTTTGCAGAATTAAGGGATAGATGCAACCTGCGGTGTGGGGGGCGTGAAACCCACATCCTGTCCCTCTATGGATCAGTTGCACCCTTGCACCCAAGCAGGGCTGTGGCCCAGGATTGGAGAATTCCCTCCTGCTTCTTTAAAAGGAGGTTGCTGGTGACATCATGGGCATGCCCCTGTTGTTGTCTTGGCAACAGCACAGAAGCAGTCTGCCCATTCACTTACACCTGGATCGGCGTTTTTTCCCCCCAAACTTCCCAACCAAATCTATAGCCCTCAGATTTCCCAATATTAAGATCTAGTCTTCCAAGCTTTTTGAGATCAGCCAAGGTTACCAAAGATCCATGTGTGATGTTAGATTAGGTGAGAGTTATATCATGAATCACACCTTATTTTTATAAATAACTCAAGGTGGTTGAAGACACACATGCTGCCCAGAGTCACCTGGTGGGGGAAGTGGGAGGCATAGGAATAGAATAGAATAACATGGGATGGGATGGGATAGGATGGGATAGAAGAGGAAGAGAGCTGAAAGGGACCTTGGAGGCCTTCTAGTCCAGCCCCCTGCTTAATCAGGAGAACCTACACTATTTCAGAGAAGTGACTGTCTAGTCTCTTCTCTGGTGCTTTGGAGAATAAATTGACCCCTCTCTTCTTTGTGGCAGTCCCTCAAATACTGGAATACTGCTATCATGTCACCCCTAATTCTTTTTTTCTTGAGACTAGCCAAACCCAAATCCTGCAGCCGTTCGTCATGTGTTTTAGCCCCCGAGCCTTCTCTGTTCTCTGAATTGTCTCAACATCTTTTTTTGTAGTATGGTGATCAAAAGTGGTTGCCATACCGTAAAATAAAATATCCCTTTCTCCTGTTTTCACCACAACAACAACCCTGTGAGGTGAGTTGGAATGACAGAGAGGGACTGGCCCACAGCGTCACCCTAAGCCAGCTTTCATGCCTAAAGTGGGACTAGAACTCCCAGTCTCCTGGTTTCTGGCCTGGTGAGGTTGAAGAGAACAGATCCGATTTGTTCTGTCTCTTTTATAAAGGGAGAAAGATCATCCCACACTTGGTTGGGAGTTGAACAGCATCCCATCCTGTTCTGCATCATTCATGATGAGTCTCCCTAGCTAGGATGTGCAGAGAAGAGCAACTACGATGATTAAGGTTCTGGAGAATAAAACATGAAAAACGGTTGCAGGAACTAGATATGGGCTGGTCTAGAGAAATGAAGGAGTAGGAGTGACATGATAGCAGGATTTCAGTATTTGAGGGGTGTTAGGGATATGAATCACCTAACAGGTATTTGGGTTAGAAATATATAAACCAGGATAAACATTTTAAAACTATCTTTAAGAGATTGCAAAAACTGCAATTGGGTGTGGTTTTTGAAACGGCCATAAGATGGGGCCAGAAACCTGGATTGTTTTAGTCTTAGTCTCAGAAGAGAGTGTGTCTGAGTGAGTATCTCTGTTGGAAAATATATTGCCATTGCTCCATTTTTTCTAATTGGCTGATATTTCTGCATTTGATGTAAGTTTGTTACTGAACTGTTTTTTGACACTGGACTTTGTTACTGAATTATCCCTGGATTGAAAAACTGACTGATTTACCTGTGAATGACTTTTGGACTGCTTATTTTGGACTTTGCTTAAACCTTTCTTGAAGTAAAAACCTACATTTACTGTAGAGTATATCTGGTACTGTGTGTGTATTATTCAAACACTTCTCTCAAATACGTCTCCCTGTATGCGCTCATTCTCCTAATGGGGAATTACCTCAACAAGGGGCTGCCACAAAGAAGAGAGGGGTCAATTTATTTTCCAAAGTATCTGAAACAGAGGTGGTATTCAGCAGGTTCTGACCAGTTCTGGAGAACCGGTAGTGGAAATTTTGACTGGCTCCACCCCCATATATTCTCTGCCTCCTGAGTCCCAGCTGATCGGCTGGGTTTTCTTTTGTTGCCCTGCACAGGAGAATGGAGCCGGAAAGCAGGTTAATGGGGTGGGAAGGGAATGGGATTTTGCAGTAACCTTCCCCCAGGAGTGGGATGGGAATGGAGATTTTATAGTATCCTTCCCCTCCCATGTCCACCAAGCTATGCCCACTGAGCCACGCCCACAGAGCAGGTAGTAAACATTTTTTTAATCCCACCACTGAGGGGGTCATTTTATTTTCCAAAGCATCTGAAGGCAGGAATTGAGGAGAAACCTCCCAACAGTGAGGTCAATTAACCAGTGGAACAGCTGGTCTTCAAAAGCTGTGGGTGCTTCATCACTGGAGGCTTTTAAGAGGAGACTAGACAGCCACTTGTCTGAAACTGTATATGGTCCCCTGCTTGAGCAGAGAGCTGGACTAGATGACCTCCAAGGTCCCTTTCAGCTCTATTCTGATTGGCTGATTATTTGGATTGTTATTAAGGGATTAATACACAGAATCTAAGAAATTGAATAAGCCGCATTTGTAGCAATTATTTATTAGTAAATTCATCAAAGGTATCTGAGAGCTGTTTGAACCAGTTTTTCCCAGAATGCAAGATGGAAGCTAATCTTTCTTTTTTTTAACAGAGACTTGAAACAACTGTCTGTTGATTTATTTATTTTTATTTTATTTTATTTATTTGATTTGATTTGTCAATCGCTTACAAGATAATAGGTATAAGTATATACATAGTTATGAATACATGAAATGGGTACATATAAGAAAAATAAAAGAAACAATAGGACAGGAACAATAGGCATGTTGGTGCGCTTATGCACGCCCCCTACAGACCTCTTAGGAAAGGGGTGAGGTCAATAGTAGACAGTCTAAGGTCAAAGTTTTTGGGGTTTGGGGAAGAAACAACAGAGTCAGGTAGAGTATTCCAGACATTGACCACTCTGTTGCTGAAGTCGTATCTCCTGCAATCAAGTTTGGTGAGGTTAACTTTGAGTTTGTATCTATTGTTTGCTCTTGTGTTGTTATGGTTGAAGCTGAAGTATTCATTGACAGGTAGGACATTGCAATGTATGATTTTATATACTATACTTAGATCAGACTGAAGACAGCGTAATTCAAGGTTTTCTAGGTCTAGAATTTCAAGTCTGGTGGCATAAGGTATTCTGCAACGAGTAGAAGAGTGGAGAACTTTCCTTGTGAAATATTTCTGGACTTTCTCAGCTGTGCTAATATCAGATATGTAATGTGGATTCCAGACTGATGAGCTGTATTCGAGTATTGGTCTAGCAAATGTTTTGTATGCTCTAGTTAGTAATGTGATATTTACCAGAGAAAAAGCTACGTAGGATTAGGTTAACAACTCTTAATGCCTTTTTGGCTATGTAGTTACAGTGGGCTCTAGCACTTAGATCATTAGAGATGAGTATTCCAAGGTCCTTTACAGAGCTTGGATCATCAACAAGGTCTTGACTATTCAGCTTGTATTTTATTTTCTGCCAATATGTAGGACAGAGCATTTAATTGTTGAGATTTGAAGTTGCCATTTGTTTGACCATTCTGATACATAGTCAAGATCTTTTTGAAGGGTAGCAGTATTGTCTGTGGTATTGAACAGCTTTACATCATCAGCGAAAAGAACGTGGTTGCTCTTAATATGATCACAGAGGTCATTTATGTAGAGTATGAAGAGAGGTGATCCCAGAACATTGCCTTGGGGGACACCATTATTGACAGGTACAGAATTTGATAGGACGCTCCCAATTTTGACCATTTGTTGTCCGTTTGACAGGAATGCTCCTATCCAGTTATGCAGTTGTCCAGAGATACCATAAGATTTTAGTTTTAGGACTAGTTTGTTGTGTACCAGTGAATCAAAGGCTTTACAGAAGTCTATGTAGATTGTGTCTATTGCTTTGCCCTGATCGAGTTGTGTAGTCCATGTTTTTGCGTGTAAGAGTTGCAGATTACAGGATAGTTTTTTTTTCTGAAACCAAATTGTTTATTGGAGAATAGGTTGTTTGTCTCTAAGTGGAGGATAATGGATTGGTTAATAATTGATTCCATGACTTTACATGACGCAGCATAAGGAGAGTGGTCTGTAATTTTCAACTAGGCTGGGGTCTCCCTTTTTGAAGATGGGGATGACTGTGGCTTGTGACCATAGGTTAGGCAAGGAGCTGGTCCTGAAAGATTTTTCAAAGATTATGCTTAGAGGTTCTGCTATGCCGGTGGATAGCTTTTTAAAGAAGTAGGCACATATTCCGTCCGGTCCAATAGATAGAGATGGTTTTAGATTGTGTAGTGCTTTTTCAACATTTTCTGTAAAATTGATATGTATTAGATCATTGCAGTTTTCTGTGGTTCGGCTAGGAAATATTGGGCATGATCCATTGCTGTTTACAAATATTGAGCCAAAGAATGTGTTAAAGATGTTGGCTTTAATGGTGTCGTCATTGCAGTCTTTTCCATTAGGTCCTATCAGGGGTGGGATGGACCTTGAGTCTTTTAGTTTGTTTACAAAATTCTAGAAAGCGCGGGTGGAATTGGTGCGTAGAAGGTTTTCTTCTTATTTAATGTGACAGATAATTGGTGCATTCAGTTTTTATCTGGTGGCATAAATTTTTGTATCGGCTTTTGAAGTTGGCAACGTGACCAGATTTGTTTTTCCATCAGAGTGATCTCTTTTGGGATTAAAGTTTCCTTATTGTTATGGGTAATCTGTTTTTTGTTTTTGTTTTGGGAGTTGTTATTGGTTTATATAGTTTGATGACTCTTCTGACTTCAAGTAAAAATATGTTGTAATAGTCTTCAACAGTACTGCATCCAGAGAATAGAAATTGCCAATCAAGGGATGAGAGATCGTTGTCTATAAGATCATAGTTGCCTTTTTTGAAGTTATAATTGAGTAAATTAATTAATCATTGATAGTTAACAATATATTGAGATATTTCTGCTTCTTTGCCAGTCTCTTCCACAGATTAAGTCTGATAATAATTGCTCTGCCATACCAATAGAAGCTTTGCTTAAGTCCTCTCCCCCCCTGCCCCCATTTCTTGTTCTTAATGCCCAAACATGGCTTTTATAAATTCCTCCAAGAAGAAATAAACATGTTTACTATTCAGGTCACTGTTCCTAAATATTATGCCTTGTCACCATAAGATCTTTAGAATGTTTACAAACTATCAGAATATGGTTTGATTAAATATTTTATTTTGATGTAACAAGTTATACCATTTGCAATTTCCTCAGCTCATCCATTGAAATGGTCTTTCCTCAAACAGGGAAGAAGTTTGCTTATGTTGAACCACCAAGGAGAGTTAGGGAAGTCCTTGAGGAAGAACTGTATTTCCAGAGAGATGAGTGCAGAATCAGGCACCCTTCAGAAGGTAAGCTTTGCAAAACAAGATAAGGGGGTGGGGATTCAAATTCTGAAGTGTTTACAATGGGAAGATTTCATATCTTCATACTTTTGTACTTTGGAGTACGATGCTTGTATTCCAAACATTGATACAAAAGTAAAATTAGAGCAATCGATCAGGCCTCCAAAAGTTATGGGTGCTCCAAAGTTGGAAGTTTTTAAGGAAAAACTTTGTTTGAAATGGGCCCAGTGTTGACTGCCTGAGCAGGGGTTGGACTGGAAGACCTCCAAGGTCCCTTCCAACTCTGTTGTTGTTGTTTGTTCTTGTTACTATTATTATTATCTCTTTTATTCATTAAACATGAAACTCAGTCAACTGAACATTTAAAAATGTATCACAAATATCGATTGGTGCTGATGGTTGATACAGGTTGCTTGCAGCATCCTACGTATTGAATAATGATAATGATAATAAGGCAAATCTGGAGGTTTGATGGTGTTACAGATATTATTATTATTATTATTTTGTTGTTATTTCTTTTATTCATTAAACATGAAACTCAGTCAACTGAATATTTTAAAATGTATCACAAATATCATTGACTGGCGCTGATGGTTGATACGGGTTGCTGCCAGCACTCTAGGTATTGACCAATTATTGTTGTTGTTATTGTTATATAGCAACAGCAAAAAACAGCCACAAACAAAACCACAGGTATTTAGTTAGCTCTTCAAAACCCTTTGGAATAATTCAATTTTAATTCATTTCTGAAAACCTAGTACTAATGGGGCAAGTTCTCACTTCTAAGAAGAGAAAATGTTGTGAATGTGAAGAAAATTCAATTTTAAATATAAATGTGCTTCAGGGAATATATATTAAATCACATGGAAAGTAAATTTGTTATAGTGTTTGTGTAATCTGTTCTCTTGGGGTTGGTGCTGGTCTGTGTAGTAATAATCAATCCAAAGCAAGTCACGGTGCATTCAAGGCGCATAAAACATTTCATAAATGGCTGTGCACCCCTCCACCATGGTCACATGCTGGGCGCTTGGCAACCAGTCATGATGTTCTGTGGTCATGTGACTGCCATTTGTGACTTTTTTGCCAGTTTCTAGCAAAAAGCTATTTGAATGAATGAATTTGCATTTAATATAACCCCCATGTTCGCTTAATCACTATCACATTTGCTCAACAACCACTGCAAAAAAAGTTCATAAAAATCATTTCTGGTCATGTGGGAACCTCAGCTTACTACCACGACAATTTACAAATGGATTTCCATTCCTAATTGAGGTCATAAATCAAGGACTACATGTAGGCTTCCATGTATCACTTCCTGGTCCTGAGCAGATGAAACGTTATAGATTAGGGGTGTCATATTCAAGGGGGTGCTTAAATCCGGCCCACAGGGCTGATCTGGAAATATCAAGGGAGCAGCCTGTGGTGCCTCTGGTGACTAAAATGGGGTATGTGCGCCCCCCCGCTCCTCACTCTCCATGGCCTCCTGCAGAACTCTGTCAGCTGAAAATGGTGGAAAACCGGGCCAAAACCAGGGCCCAAAATGGGCCACGTGGCCCATTTTCGGCCAGCACAGTGCTGTAGGAGGCCATGGAGGGTGAAAACGAGGCACAGGAGGGCTGTGCGCAGACCCCCTGCACCCCATTTTGGTTGGCAGAGTGCTGCAGGAAGCATCCATCCCGCCGCCGCCACCACCACCGGCCCACAGAGGAGAGTTACAATGCTGATCCAGCCCTCAAAGAAATCCAGTTTGACAGCCCTGTTATAGATCCTAAACGGGGCCTTTTAGCTTTCCTTTTTGCCTACAGTGTTCCAATAAGCTTCAAAGCAATCCATTAGTTTATGGCTCCGTAGAGCCAAAAAAAAAAAAAAAAAGGTTGAAGTAAGACCATAAAATTGTGATGTTCCACTTAATGATTGCTTCAATTAAATCCCAGGTCTCAATTGTGCAATACAATACAGTTATAATAATGCTCTTCTGTATGTTATGGACAGTGGCTCTGGAAAGGATTTGGAGCTTGAAAAGAAATTTTCCTGTGGGAGGCTTCAACCCAGCATCACAGAATCAAAGCTGCTTCCTTTCTCAACCTTATTATTCCAGGCATGCAGTCATAAGAAGTAAGAATGTAGTATCTCCTTTCTTTCCTGCTCCCCAAAAGCAAACGTGTGCATTTAAAACAACAGAACATTCATCACATTAATTTACTGTACATAAAAGAGAGCTCGCCAGACACAGGATCATTAAATGACTAGCTGCTATTTTGATAGCTTATGCAGGAGAAAAAGCAGATTTTCCACGTTTCCCAGTGATATCACACAAATTCTTTTGAATGCCTTCTAAGAAGATGTAATGCAGCCCTCAGATTCATGAGTTATACGTTTTAGATTGTCTTCTGTGGTTTGGGGGTACACTTCCTTTTGATGGATATCTTTAGAAGTTTTAGTTCCTGGTTATTAGAAGCTAGTTCATGTGTGAACTCTGCTAATGGAAGATTATTATAGCCCACAGATAGCCCAAATATTGTCCTGTAAGATGTTAGGCCAATCCTGATTGCAACATCTATCCCCTCATTGATATTCAGGGCTGATGTACAGTAGTTGATCCAGCTGACCTATCCAATCAATGACCTTCAAGGTTGAGCTGAGATATGAACACTACTCTTCCCAATGTCTATTGAGATTCTCAGTTGTCCAGGTGCCCTAAAGGTGTTTCCTTTCAAAAGGCAACTGGGTTTTCTTGTTTTGCTTGAAGAAAGTCCGGTTATCTTTTGAAAGAAAACACCTTTGAGACACCATGATCTGGACAACTAAGAATCTCTGTAGATATTTAGCTATGCGCTTTGAGATGAATACCCTTCAAATTGTGCAAGAGTATGAACGGATTTCCAGAAACAAAATTGCAAACTACAGGATTCAGGTGACCTTGAGGGCATAGATAAATCTCCAAGTGGCTTCAACAACTGTCAGAATGAGGGCTAATGACCACATGTTGCAAGGAATATAAATCCTTCCATTCTCCACCACTCAGTCAGAACTGAAGAAACTTCTTAGATGAGAAGCGAAATGTCTTCCAGCAAAACAAGATAGTCCAGTTGCCCTTTGAAAGAAACATCTTTGGGACTACTCTTCCCGCTTTTCACTCAACAATTTAAGTGACATAATCTGGGAATAAAACTCCCTGCAACTTACTTGGAAGTATTTATGTTTTGAGTTGCTAAGTTCTTCATTGCATCTTAAAATGAGTTTTCAATTTTGGAAATTCCACATTGCACAATAATGTTCAGATTTCTCAGATTTATGAAGGCAGCAACTTCATTTTTTATTTACCAAAAATTTATGTTGTTGGGGCCCTAATAACTTATTATTTCATTGATATTCTGTCCTTAATGAGAAAGATTCTGGTTGAGTAGGAATGTCTATGGCAACTTTTCCACCTTCCAGTTAGGAAGAATTACTTGATTTCCTTCTACTCATGGTGAAATTTATTTGTTTAAAATGAAGTACAGAACTGCTCCACAAATATAATACTTATGAATCTCCATTTTGATACTTTCTCCTTTCTAGGATAGTCATTCTGAAAAATTTGAATCTCCTTTGATGGAAGTCGCAGAAGAAAAGCAAATCTATGGCTGTCACATTTATCTGAACATAGACAATTATATTTTAGTATTTATAAAGTTGCTTATAAAATAAATTTTGAAGCTATGCACCTGACAACCATGTATCTAAGGTGATCATCTCTGACTTAGGTTACTACTAAAAAATTCACTAGTTTATAACACAAAAAAAGTCCCGTCTTTCCAGATTGTTCCAATTAAATTTGAAGTTGGTATTTTATATTTGCAAGGTCCTCAAACGTTGTTAATACCACGCTGGCAGTCTGAGCAAATGTAAAACAGACAAGTCTATCATTAACTTTGAGCTCAATTCTCATGTTCCTATTTCCTTTGTATGGTTTTTGACTGGCCTCCATTGAGGCCAGTTTTGATCTGAGAACACTTGATAGATGAAGCTGTGCAGGAGCGATAAAGATGGAATTGCTTAAGGCTATAGGGATAGGAAAAAGGGAAATTCAATGGGTTTTTTTCCCTATCCGTTTTTACACTCAGTCCTCCAGGCTATTTGAGGCAAGAAGTTTCTGAGATAAGGGTAATCAGTAGTACTGAACTTACAATCATTTATTTAGCAATTGTTTGAAGTTACAACAGCACAGGAAAAAATGACTTATGACTGGTCCTTCCACTTACGACCATTGCAGATTCCCCCATGGTCACATGATCAAATTTCAGTCCTGCAATGTTCCAAGGCATTTGATTGACATTTGCAATTTTCCCAGCTGGGGTTTTAACAAGCAAAACCAATGGGGGAAGCCAGATTGGCTTAATGTTGTTAACTTAACAGCTGTACTGATTTACTTAACAACTGTGAGGGAAAGTGCATGTGTCGCTTTAACAACTGCCTGGCTTAGTAATAGAGATTCTGCTCCCCAACTGTGGTTGTAAGTTGAGGATTGCTTATAAAGGATTGGAAGTCACCATCTATTCCTCAAAAAGCATGGTCCCCGTTGCATTTGTACACCCATCTCCAAGTCTATCTGGCTGAAATTCTAGAATTGGTTTACTTCTGCCTTCTCCAGCATGACAGCAGAATGAAAACTACCCCATCTCAGTTTTTGGTTCCATGTTAGAGGAATGTTTAATTCCACAGCAGTCTGAATAATGGACTTTCCCCAGTCACAGATTTCCCCTTGCTGGTGAGAAACTTGAGTAATATTCCAAAAATGTTTTAAAGTATCCTATTAAAGGAGTGGGGCTTTTTGTATCATCACCTTTTTTTCTTTTTTCTTTTAGAAGTGAAAGTTCTTCGAGTCGTCTTTTCCCAACTTTTCTTTTTTGTAGAGAAAATCTGCTAGGGAGGAAAATAGCATAGGGTTTCCTGCTTGAGCAGGGGTTAGACTAGAAGACCTCCAAGGACCCTTCCAACTCTGTTATTCTGAAAAGATTTTGTTCTATTATGCTGGCAAGGAGAAATGGTGAACACCATTAAAGACCAAGATGAGTACAACTGACAAGCTAGAGAAGATAAAGTTCCAATTGCCGTTTTATTGTTGAGAAATTTGGGGTTATATTTTTTTCCTTGTTCACCATCCATACGATGCCCAAGATACATTTTTCTTTTGTAAGGTGCTCTTTCTTAGATGAACATATTCCATTTGGAGTATTTTTAACTTCTTTCAGTATATATTATTTTTTTAAAGCACACATTTTTAAATGATTTGTTTTTAGTTTGGATTTCACAATGCAGTAGGGACCACTGCTTCCAAAGATTGCTGATTCCTGAAAAGAGGTTATTATTTTGGTGCACTGCATTTCCAGAGTAAGTTGAGGTCGACAGAACCTTCATATTTCTTGCTTCCTCCGCTGGGGAGTGAGAGCACACCCTAGTAAAAATCAATTTTAAAAAGACTGTTTCTATTGGATGTTTTGAAGTAAAACTAATGACATTGGGAGACTTGGTTTCCTAGTCAGACGTATCTCTCAAATTTAGCCCTGAACTGGACATTGCTAGAGATCCATATTCTCACAGACCTCTTATCTTCTCTCTCAAATCCCAATGATTAAACAAAGGTGGGCAAAAGAAAACAGAACTAGAATCTTGTACATCAGTGGCCCTCAACCTTTTGGGTCTCAGTGACCAGTTCTGTGGAGAGAGGTTTATTCGCGGACAGGAGGCGGCGTGGTTTCACGTGCTGCCTGAATCCCGCAGATGGCACTTCGATTGTTTGCGTGGCCCGGTTTCTGGCATGCCACGGCCCAGTGCCAGTCCACGGCCCGGGAGGAGACCCCTGTTGTACATGGCAACCCCATCTTCCAAAAGCAGTCCAGTTTTGTAAGTTAATCTAGTATCAGGGGAATTAGATAAGCCTTTCAAACCAGTTCCCTCAAGTTTCCTCTTGTTTCAGCCCCTCCCAGGAATGAAAATATTTCAGATTGCCCTTATCAATCTGAGATGGTATATCCCAAGTGACAGATCTGCTGCAGCTCACATTAAGATGGCGGAAAGATCAAATCCCAGGCTCAGAATAATTGCCTTCCAGAAGAGGACAAATTAAATCCCTGCCACACATAGGAAAAGAAATGAGTGAATACTTGTCTAGAGATACACACAACTCTATTTATTCAAAGGGCGATGTCCTTCAGTTGAAAGCACCTTACAAAAGACAGAGGGAAAAAGTTATCACTTTTATTATTGAATTTACAAATTTGTGAAGGCTATCTCATTTCAAATAAACTCATTTGGGGGGGAAATGGAACTAATTTGCCTTTTTAGGTAAACACAGCAGCAAAATCAACTGTGTTTTTAAAAAATATATTTCATATTTTTGTTATCACGTAGAAAAGATCAAAATCTCTCTGATGTCTATCCCTGTTTGAGTTTGAGTTAATTTTGTTCATTTGAATATATCTTACATCTCTTACTACTACTTTTATAGCTTCAATTCACTTGTATTTCATTTATTCACAACATTTATCTCACAATGCTGTTGTTTTTAACAATCCCAGAGTAGGAATGCATGTTGTATTTATTGTTATCTTTGTAAATTAAGTTTATAATTTTGTATTTTGATGTGTCTTGAAATATAGTAACTTAGAAACTGTTTTGTAGGTGGAGAAACAATTATCCTAAAAGGACAAGCAATGATATATGTACAAATAAAAACGAATAGTAAATAATCCTTTATTTCTTCATGATTGTTTCACCACACATTCTTTGATCCTCATATTACAACAAAAGAGATTTTGTTTCCATCGTATAGTTTGGTAACCTTGCACACCCACCCTGGGGGTCAGGCTCAGAGAAAGCTGGAGGGAGGGCAAAAATGGATGGGGCCAGCCAGGAGTGTCGTACCTTATGATTCTTGACTCTTGACAAATGTATCTTTTCTTTTATGTACACTGAGAGCATTTGCACCAAGACAAACTCCTTGTGTGTCCAGTCACACTTGACCAATAAAGAATTCTATTCTTCTATACTTTTCTAAAAAAAAAGGCTAGTTTTAATGATAGGAGATTTGCTTTTCAAAGGAGTGGAATCAGTAATTGGTCACCCAGACAATAACTCCAAAAAGGTATGTTGTCCCACAGGAGCAAAAATAAAAAATGTGACTTACTAAAAAATGAAGCCCAGATTATTATTCTGTTCTCCTCTTTCATGTGAGGATGAATGACTTTTAAAAACCTGAACACAGTATCAAGAGACTATGAATAGCTCAGCATGAAAGCCAAAGCATGAAGAGCATACAGCTGTATATTTGTTCAAAAGAAATGGGCAAACAAAAGAGGTAAAATTGCATTATAAGAAATCATTATACCATTACAGAAAAGTATAAAGCCACAGATGAAAGCGGTCTTAAATGCACATGGGTTAATATAAAAGGAGAAAAGAATGACATTTCCATAGGTGTATACTAGGCCACCTAACCAAACAGACAAAATAGTTGAACTTTTTGCTTATCAGTTCATACCATTGTGGGCTGCTGGGGGTTCGCGGGGGTTTGGGAGAAACCCTAGCTAAGATTCTGCACAGTTCAGCTGTACATTCCAATCATGAATTATATATCCCACCAGGTTTCAATAATGGCAACAACATCCTACTTGGCCTCCTGTACTAGAAAATTTGCCTTGTTTGTTCCTCATACTTTGAGTCCTTTATGGCTGAGTGTTTGCTTTCTACATCTTTGCTTTGTATTTGAACTCCTGTTCCTTCTCACCACTCCCTGTCTCATTGTTTGGTTGTTTCAGGGATTATGCTCAGGATTAAGTCCTAAAAGTTAGTCTCTTTCCCCTTCAGATAAGTCAAGCCAGCCATTTTCCAAATGCATTTTTCTCAATTCTTATGAGGGGTCAACCTGCCAGAAATCCTTCATGTAGCTAAGGTAGACCACAGTTGAGGAATTTGAAGTTCTCTGGATGGCACCATCACTCAAGCCAGTAGTTTACTTCTAAAATCCTCCATTTCTTCGTTGGATGTGTTGACTCTCTGTTGGAAGTGCAGATGAAACCATCATGTATGCTCTTCCGCTAGGTGAGATCAACCATCACCATGGACTGAAGTATCATCAACACGCTGATAATACTCACCTGTATGTCTCAGCCTATGGTGAACTAAGTGTTGCTGCGTCCTCCCTCTCACAGTACCTGGAGGCTTTTAGGGGCTGGATGGGGAGCAACGGGTTGAAACCAAACCCTGGCGAGACCAAGTGGCTCTGGGTTTGTGGTTCATTGGCTCAGGTTGAATTGCCACCTTTGGTCTTGGATAGAGTGGCACCACCCCAAACAGATCCTGTGTATAATCTGGGGGTTCTAATGGATTCACCATTCCTGCTGGAAGAGCAGGTGGTGGTCGTGGCCAGGAGGCCCTTTGCGCAACTGCAGGTTGTGCACCAGTTATGCCCTTTCCTGGACCAACAATCCCTACTCATAGTTACTCATGTCCTAGTCACTTCCTGTCTTCACTATTGCAATGTGCTCTACATGGGGCTGCCCTTGAAGAGCATCCGGAAGCTTCAGTTGGTGCAAAATGCAGTGGCCTGCATAGTTTTCTGCAGACCCCGGTGTGCACATGTATCACCTTTCCTGCGGGAGCTGCATTAGTTGCCGATTTGCTTTGGCAACTAATTCGGTGCAATTCAAAGTGTTGGTTGTCTCCTTTAAAGCGCTTCATGGCTTGGGATAAGGTTATCTGAGGGACCATCTCTTGCTGGTCACATCTATTGGACCCATAAGAGCAAGGAGGCAGAGAATGCTGTGGGTCCCATCCCCAAGGGAGATACACCTGGTGGGACCCAGAGGAAGGGCCTTCTCCGTGGTGGCTCCCTCTCTCTGGAATATCATTTCTCCAGAGATTAGAATGGCCCCCACCCTAATACTCTTCCAGAAGGCGC